TAACCATAAACTTTAAAACGAGAAGTAGGATATAAAATAATGCCTTTTACAATAAATATGATCTGAAATGCTATTATTGTAATAAATACGATTTGAAATGCTATTATTGATACCTAAAACTCAGTATATCAACATCGCTGTACGCTGCGTTTCCTTCTCACAGTTTATCTAAGGGCATTAATAAATACGTCTTAAGCTTCAATAGAATTGTCACGTGATGTCAAAAACAAGGTCAGCGATTTTGTTATTCAAGATTTAGTGTCGCACCATATCAATAGAGAACATAATTTTGAATATGACGTCTGTAATTCAAAATGCTAAAATTAATTGAATTTTTATATTTATAAGTTTTTCTATGTTAAATCACATGCTACACAAACTAATTAATAAAGTATCTTAAAAATAATTTATAGGAGTGTCCTTTGTAATGAAGATCATTAAGGTTATAAGGATGGTCCTTTGTAATGAAGAACATTAAGGATCTAAGGATGGTCCTTTGTAATGAAGAACATTAAGGTTATAAGGATGGTCCTTTGTAATGAAGATCATTAAGGTTATAAGGATGGTCCTTTGTAATGAAGAACATTAAGGATCAAAGGATGGTCCTTTGTAATGAAGAACATTAAGGTTATAAGGATGGTCCTTTGTAATGAAGAACATTAAGGATCAAAGGATGGTCCTTTGTAATGAAGAACATTAAGGATCTAAGGATGGTCCTTTGTAATGAAGAACATTAAGGATCTAAGGATGTTCCTTTGTAATGAAGAACATTAAGGATCTAAGGATGGTCCTTTCTAATGAAGATCATTAAGGATATACACCTCTTTTGTATTCTAAAATTGACAAACTGAGTAGAAAACAGCCACTTACTTCGAATGTATACCACGAACCTCATGAAGAATGGGTAAAATATTAATGTAAAATTGTTGAAAGGGGGGCTTTGGTTAAATATATACCACGAACCTGATGAAGAATGAGTAAAACGATAATGGAAAACTATTGAAAAGGGAATTTTGGTTAAATATGAATTATATATACTACTCTCTCCATGTACATATGAACTATGTATACTACTCTCTCCATGTACATATGAACCATATATACTACTCTCTCCATGTACATATGAACTATATATACTACTTTTTCCGTGTACATATGAACTATATATACTACTTTTCCGTGTACATATGAACTATATATACTACTCTCTCCATGTACGTATGAACTATGTATACTACTCTCTCCATGTACATATGAACTATGCATACTACTCTCTCCATGTACGTATAAACTATATATACTACTTTCTCCATGTACGTATGAACTATATATACTATTCTCTCCATGTACATATGAACTATGTATACTACTCTCTCCATGTACGTATGAACTATATATACTACTCTCTCCATGTACGTATGAACTATATATACTACTCTCTCCATGTACATATGAACTATGCATACTACTCTCTCCGTGTACATATGAACTATGTATACTACTCTCTCCATGTACATATGAACTATATATACTATTCTCTCCATGTACATATGAACTATGTATACTACTCTCTCCATATACGTATGAACTATATATACTACTCTCTCCATGTACGTATGAACTATATATACTATTCTCTCCATGTACGTATGAACTATATATACTACTCTCTCCATGTACATATGAACCATGTATACTACTCTCTCCATGTACATATGAACCATGTATACTACTCTCTCCATGTACATATGAACTACAAATTTTGTGCAGTATCAAAAACAGAAAAATGTCAAACGTTAATTTCCTTTGGGATCTAAGCCATAACCAGACGGAATCAAACAGAGAAACCGTTAAAATGATACCTTCCTCTTTGACGAATGTTTGGAATAAAACCAGGAAATCTGCTGTAAGGTCACGAGTGGAAAAGGTATAGACAAAATGGTGAACAAAAGAGAACAGCTTGCTATCAATGAAAAACTTTTTATTGCTTCAACGTCATGTCTCGCGGCTTCTTCAAAGGATTAATCCCTTACGGTGGGGTTTAACCATCTGAAGAAGCCCCAAGGGGTATCGTTGAGGTACTAAAAACGGCTTTCTTGCCGAGAATAACTATCTTCGCTTTTGTATTAAACCTTTCTTACATGCAATTCAGAGTACACAGGTCGGGCGTGGTCTATTGGTTGGCGTGCCCAGATTCAAGATCTGCGGTCCGTTGTTGCGAAAACGCAAGTTGCACTTTGGAGCCCTGGATATTATATAAGAGTGGCGGTCAAATCCAACTATTGGATAAGAGAAGAGTAGCACAAGAGTGGCGGTGGATGATGTTAGTGGAATTCTATCCCGTCTAGTCTCTTATTCAAAATTAGGGACCGCCATGTGCGAACCTTTTGAAACAAACCATTTTACGCTACGCCATCTTTATTTTACTGAAAGCGAAGAGCTATTAGCAGCCACATTGTATATGATAAAATGATTCGAAAGCCTAAAATATTTTACAAGAAAGTTGTATGAAATAATTAAGCAGGTATGGTATAAACGTCCATCCGTTTTGGTAAGACAAATACATATAAGTTAGAATCCATTTTGAAAAACTCGGTAACTGTAAAGATTATCCACTGGGATTATTCCTATATTATAAGAAATGTACCAATATAGCATGCAGTGGCGCTATCACTTAACTACACTATCACAACAACAAAACATGAATTTACAGTGACGTCATGTCCAGTCATGCGCAATGATAAAAAATGAGAATAACAGCCAAATTATTTGAGTGTTCACCTTTCACACCAATATTTCAATCCTCTCGACAAAAATGAGAAATCTCTATTGAAACTATTTAACAGTAACATTTTTATTACCGAGAAAAAAAATATTTTGCATCAAACATTTTCACATGCACTCCAGTGTATGTAGGCTTTTCAGAACAAACAAAACTGTAGAACATCACTCTTTTGATGTCCAAAATCAGTTTGTGCATTACAACCAATCTAAAACATATTGACTAGTCATTCTTAACTATACACATCATCAACCATTAGTGTACGAATATGCTGCGTGACATTATTTCGTTAACGTACTCTGTATTTGACTTACAAATCATCAGCATTCAAACTGCCAACCTTTCGACCACGTGACAGCATAATTACAGCAATATCTCCTCTTTTACTGTCAACTACATCGTAAGTACAGCCATATCTTCAATATTCAACCTGTCAACCACACGAAAGTACAGGTACAGTCATGTTACAGTACAGGTAAAATCATGTTACAGTAAAGTTACAGTCATGTTACAGTACAGGTACAGTCATGTTACAGTACAGGTCCAGTCATTTTACAGCACAGTTACAGTCATGTTATAGTACAGTTACAGTCATGTAACAGTACAGGTATAGTCATGTTACAGTACAGGTATAGTCGTGTTACAGTACAGTTACAGTCATGTTACGGTACAGATAAATTTGTGTTACAGTACAGATACAGTCATGTTACAGTACAGGTATATTCATGTTACTGTACAGGTATAGTCATGTTACAGTACAGGTACAATCATGTTACAGTCATGTTACATTACAGGTACAGTCATTTTACAGCACAGTTACAGTCATGTTATAGTACAGTTACAGTCATGTAACAGTACAGGTATAGTCATGTTACAGTACAGGTATTGTCATGTTACAGTACAGGTACAGTCGTGTTACAGTACAGTTACAGTCATGTTACGGTACAGGTAAATTTGTGTTACAGTACAGATACAGTCATGTAACAGTACAGGTATAGTCGTGTTACAGTACAGTTACAGTCATGTTACGGTACAGGTAAATTTGTGTTACAGTACAGATATAGTCATGTTACAGTACAGTTACAGTCATGTTACAGCACAGTTACAGTCATGTTACAGTATAGTTACAGTCATGTCACAGTACAGGTACAGTCATGTCTCCTCTTTTATGGTGTTATCTTCTTGCGGCAGTTGTATTTTCCTGCATTTGCTCCCTAAAGGCAGCGTACATCATAACTTGGTTGACCCAGACTTTACAGTTCATGGGTATAAGATTCTTATTCTAAACGGCAGTGGTCGAAATGCACACATCAGGCAGGCGGCAGCACTGTATATGTAGGGATGGCTTGGATTGTTTCATCGAAATGGTATTTTAAATATCTCTTTAATAGGTCATCAGAACTTTATAATACTATACAGTGTTTCCTTTTATAACACTATCTATGTAATGACTGAGTCACAAGTTTTTAAAATGTCTGTAAATATCATAGCAAAAAGTTTGAATTTCTTGTTCTTCTTTCTTTTGCTTCTTTTTTTATTACATGATAACTCAAAAACCGAAACAGTGGTGTCAACCAATTTCATTGATGTGACAATTTCAAAGAAGTATCCGCTTTTATAAGTATTATTAATAACTAGTAGTAATTTAAAAAAAATCATATTTCTAGTGTAGACGATGGTATCAATAGCTCTTGAAGTTAGCTTGCTTACAGAAATATGGTGTTCCTTTAAAAAGCTTAAGTACAGGGTTAAACAGGAATTACTAACCAATAATAGATAAACAATAAATATTACAGTTGGAACATCATTGTATTTAGTACTTAGTTATATATACAACCTTCCTATGTCTATTGAAACACTGCATTTAAAACAAGCAAACAAGTAAAGAAAAACTTTTCAAAAAATGAAGTAAATGTAGGGATGGTTAATATCAATTTTTCAAAAACAATCAGATATGACGAATTTGAAAGTATAAGTTCTAGGGAGGACAATTCGTCAGTAATAATGCAAGCAATTTAATTCAAATGATTAACAACAATCAAATGCCTCCGTTTTAACGGCTGAATCCTCTTAAGACTAATCACATTTTGCGATTAATTATTTTATTATAATTCGGTGCAGGTCTCTAATATTGAATAAAAACCAAATTGTAACGCTCACTTAGCAGTTCAAAACAATCAACCTTACAGCTTAAATGTGTATTTCCTTTTCTTTTCAGGTGTTGCTGGTATTGGGTTTCTTTCTTCCCGGACTGCAAGGGAAAATTCTACCTAATGACACAGAAAAAAAAGAATTGGAACCAATATTCGAAACCCACGTAAGTTACAACAAAATTATCTATAAAGTGCCATCTATCGGGCGGAAAGTGACATATTTTCTGAATGTTTTGCATGTGCTTCGGGTATAGATCTTAGAAACAGATGGTTATATTGTACATAGTATAATGTATTCAAAACAAGTTGTGTGTTTCACATGTTACTGTTATCGCACATACTTTTTGTTCTCCTGAGAAAGGTATAGAGTAATGGTTATGTTAATCTACATGTTCATAGGAAATGACCTACACAGAATAATATCCACATTTATTCATATAGTAATTTATGTATGCGCAGGGCAACGTCTATTTTACTCAAATAATACCTTATGTATGCACAAGACAGTAATATAATAATAAAAGTCCTATTGCAAAATAACTATCAGTTGTACAGACTTAAATCAGTGACATTTTTAGCAGCGGCATAGTGGCTCATAGAACGGCTCTGAGTTTTTTTTTTGTTTTTTTTTCAAGTACAAACTTTTATCTCAAAGCTCCGTCATCTCTTGACCGATATGAGATCTAATTACACTTTTGGATTCAGCAGGTCAAACCCTTTCGATTGTTGTATTTGATCACGTCCAAGGTCTCGTATATTAATTTACTCTAATCCTGCCTAAAATAATTTAAATTTGAGGGTAGGCTGGTAGAGATCCTGATGAGTAATAAAACTGAATCGCCCAAAAACATAGCTAATATAAAAGGGGGAAAAGGCTTCATAGAATATTTACTCTAATCTTGCCTAAAAGAGTTTCAAGTGCCGCGGCTATTGAAGATTCCCTCTTGTTTTTAATTGAAGCACTGAGCTGTACGGGTTAGTAGCTATACCAACCTGTATATCATCTTGTAATCGCTAACAAATAGAGTTTTCACTTTAAGAAGGCTTCGTATGGCCTGGTGGTTAGGGCACTTGACTCGCAATCTGTGGGTCGTGAGTTCAAAACCCATCACCCAAAATGCTCGCTTTTTCAGCCATGGGGGCGTTATAATGTGACAATTCATTTCACATTTTGTTGGTTAAAGCGTAGTTCTATAGTTGGCGTTGGGTGGTATTGACTAACTGCCTTCCCTCTAAATTAGGGCCGGCTGGTTACTCATCTTTGCGCGAAATTGAACAAACAAATACTTCAAGAATTCTCTAGTTATGGTATTCGTCACCAGTCTGCACGAGGCACTTATATTAGTTTAGTGTAATATCAACACTTTTTTGGAGATTCCAGATATATTATAAGACTCTAATTGATTTATCTTTGCAGCCTCAGACTACTGCCCTACAGATACAAATAATGCTTCACCAGAATCTGTTCTTGACATTTTCTCATTTTCTGCAACTTTCTTTAGGGGTTTTAGAAAATTAGATGAAAATTGATTTGTCTTTCATTTTTTCTTTAGCAGCGTAAGTCAAGGAACATGTTGTCTATGAATAGTTCTGAATACATTTTTTTTAAGCTGAATAACTAGAAATAACAACTATGCTCTTGCAAAATCATTATGTATGATTGTAAAAAAATCGTTATTAACACATATTTTCTGTCTGTTGCTTCTTTCCTTGTTTTAGCGCAAAACTCCGCTGCGGGAATAGAACTCCTAATTCTAAAGTTATAAGCCTTCACGCTTACTGTTGAACCACCCAGCAGGCATCTTTTCGTAAAAATAGAAGGAAAATCGATTTTATAATTAAACTCTTCAAAAGAACAAAGTAACAGCTTTATCTTCGAGAAATTGTTAAAATAACAAATATAAATAATAGCATTAAAAATTGATGAATGGTATCTTATTATTAATCCATAACTTAATTATGATTTGTAAAATGACTTAGATAAAATTGATAATAATTAGACTTCACTTACTAATCCTAGTTCAATCACACCATAAAATGTATAATATAAATAACGTCTCTACCACTGTCATATCTGTCGTATCCCAGCCGGCCTGACGAACCATGGTACGGGAATATCTGTCGTATCCCAGCCGGCCTGACGAACCATGGTACGGGAATATCTGTCGTATCCCAGCCGGCCTGACGAACCATGGTACGGGAATATCTGTCGTATCCCAGCCGGCCTGATGAGCCATGGTACGGGATGAAAGATCTTCTTGGCACAGACTATGGCAAATATAGCGAAGTTGACATATTATAACAATCAGCTTCACATTGATCTTTATTTTTTTTTCACTAAGAAACTCAAAGAATAGTTTCAGATAAGACCTTCAACGTTTCAATTTCAGATTGGGATAAACAATCTATGAAGATTTTATTTAAGACCTTTATTGCATGGAGTATTGTTTTTATTTTAATTTGAAGAGTAAAAAAAACAAACAGTAAAGTGATTTAAACAACACACAATGTTAAAAGAATGAAAAAGATGAAACTCAGAAACGTTTTGTCAAAGAGCGATGTTTCACACTCATTTTTCTAATTATATCTTACTTACATTTGTTATAAACCTCAGTCATATGATCTTAACCAACAGGGGGCGCTAATTAATAACATCAAAAAACATTTCGTTTATTTAAAAAAAAACAATCACAAGCTACGCCATTCTCCGCAGCTCCCTTTCTTGACTTACAACCCTCCTGTTGCAGTAGCAACGAAACGTTATGTCACATTTCTTGACTTACAACCCTCTTGTGGCATAACAACGAAATATTATGTAACACTTCTTGGCTTACAACCCTCCTGTTGCAGCAGCAACGAAACGTTATGTTATTCTTCTTAACTGAGAACATGCTTCTTGGAATAATATGTTTAACTTAGATCTTCGCAACAAATGTAGCTTGAACAATGTTTGTACACTAAAGGACCCGTCATATGATTTTCTACCCCTCACGACGGTGGGAATATTGTTTTCACTCCTTACGTGTCGAAAGTTTTTCATATGATTTTGATCTATTCGGTACAAAGATTGAATGTCTCTCAAGGATCAAGTGATTAACTTTTGGTTAGCGTAGCTCGTAGGTCAACCAGTTTCGTTATAATGATAACAAACTGGGATTTTGTTAACGATCAAAACTCGAGAACTAATTAGAGTAGAAAAAAGGGGATGTTGGCTCTATGACCTACATTTCTGAGAGCGAGGAATTATTTGGTGTATATTTTAGGTTGGTTATAACAAGAGTCTAAAGAGTCCCGAAGGAGGGGGTCTACTCTCTGAGTGCCCTTTTACTTTTGTTCTTCAGCGACATTTTTGTTGGTTAGAACCCCGCATTTGTTCTGTAGTAATACTTTTAGTGGATAATTTGGGTGTTTGTATAGTGAAATTGACATATAGGAGTCACCACGCTTTTTCTGTAGAAATACTTTTGGTGGTTAATTTGGGGATTTGTATAGTGAAATTGACATATAGGAGTCACCACGCTTTTTCTGTAGAAATACTTTTGGTGGTTAATTTGGGGATTTGTATAGTGAAATTGACATATAGGAGTCACCACGCTTTTTCTGTAGAAATACTTTTGGTAGTTAATTTGGGTGATTGTATAGTGAAATTGACATATAAGAGGCACCACGCTTTTTCTGTAGAAATACTTTTGGTGGTTAATTTGGGTGTTTGTATAGTGAAATTGACATACAGGAGTCACCACACTTTTTCTGTAGTAAAACCTTTGGTGGTTAATTTGGATGATTGAGTAGTGATATTATTACTTTTGATATCGAAGAACCCACACACTTACTCCGTAGTAAAACATTTAGTGTTTATTTTGGGAGATTGAGGAATGTCGGTATTTCGTTTGATACCTAAGAACCATGATGCTTGTTCTTTAGTAATACATTTAGTGATTATTTTGTGTGTCTGAGTAATGACGGTATTCCTGTCGACATCCAAGAATTCCATGTTTGTAATCTAAGTTCATCCTATTTGGTTATTTCAGTCTTACAATTATTGAATTAGAAAAGACGTAGTATTTTAGGAACTTCAGCTGATAACCTTATATAGTTATCCATCTTCCAACTAAGCTGTCCCCCAGTGGGACAGCGGCAAGTCTACGGACTTACAACACTAAAATCCGGGGTTCGATTTCCCGCGGTGAACACAGCAGATGGCCTTTTATGCTAGTTTTGTTATATGTTAATCTTAGATGTTTTGGGTAATAGCGCTTTACCTACACCCACTTTCCTATAAACCTCAAGGATATTCAGATGCTATTTCTTCTATATAAAAGCCCTACTCAAAAAGTGTCGAAACTTAAGCATATCAAACAAACACAAAATGCGAAGTCTTCCGTATCCAAATCGCATAAATTTCCGTCTATCGTTCTCAAAATGAGATAGAGTAATGATATTATCTACATTCATGGCGCACATATGTAACATTTCCTATCTAAAGAAAAAGTACTGTAGCTATTATCAACGATAGCTATGTTGTTGTTTTATCAATAAAAATATGCAACACGCGTTTCAGACCGCATAATGTATACTATCTGATATAAAATACTGTTCCCGTCACTTGTTTTCTGCCTAAAGTAATCTCGACCTCACGTGAAGTAAAGAAAGTTCTTGATTAATAATTGTTATTATTGTCAAGGAACTTTTAAACATGGCAAGTAAAACGGAGTCTTTTGTTTAAGCACAATGGGCTATCTGTTCTGTGCCCATCACGGATATCGAAAATAGTTTTTATTGTTATAAGCCCACAGGCGTACCGATTAGCCAATATGGGGGCGGGGTTGTAGGTTATGAATTTCTGTTGTTCTAGTTTCATTACTGGGCGATGGTTTTCGGATAGTCAGTCATGCAAGCATAATCCACGTGTTTCTATATAGTACATTATATCAGTGTATTTTATCCAAATCGATTACGTTAGAAAAAAGATGGGGGGGGGACTAATGTTTTACTGACAATATGTGGTAGCCTTCCAAATGTCTGACTTCCTAGAAACTCTTTATTGTAAGGAAATAGTAGCGTAATGATCCTTGCACAGATACACCATTTCTTTGAGTATCTAGTAAGTGGCGGAAATCATATTTTTGTTTGGAAGGCTCTTATAGTTAGTGACTTTTTGAAATAAAAATAATGTCAAACAGAAAAAAAAATAGTGCGATATAAATTCACACTGATTCTCTCAAATTACTGAAACAAATAGAGAGAGAGAGAAAAGAAACAAAGTACTGAACAAGAAAAGAAAAATAACGGCTGTAACATTTTCGAAACTTCTGTAATAAATGGCATAGCAGTTGTTACTAACGTATATGTAACGTACCTTGTATAATCTTAAATACGTTTAGTAATATATGTACTAATACTGATGAGATATTATGAATCACCTTGAGTGGTAGAATAAAGGCTTAATTTTTTGTCTTTATTAAGGTTTTTATTGTTGTTGTTTTTTTGTTTTAGCGCAAAGCCACACATTGCGCTATCTGCCCTCTGTCCATCGCGGGGAATCGAGCCTCGGATTTTACTGTTCTCAGTCTGTAAACTTACCGCTAATCCACCGGAAGACGTCTTTATTAAATGAATATCTGCACAAGTTAACTGGAGACTGGTTACAAGTTGGGGAGCGAAAACTCTAAAGAAACGGGAGTTCGTGTCAGGGCAGCATAGCACCACCTTATACATTTAATGTTCGTATTTTTGGTCAATTATTGCTTGAACTTCTGCTGGTCCGGAGACATCGAATTCAAGCGCTAAAAATAAATTGAGCATTTTCCCAACTTATAATCCGAGTTTACTTGCCCAGAAAAAAAAAAGACATAAATGAGGAATCAATATTTTTATTATCATGCCGATTGAGCATGACTGTTTTAGTCATGCTAACTTCTACAGATTCGTACAACGTTCTGATGATTAGATCCATTTGGCAGATTTTTTGTTTGGTTGTGTTTCAAAGCCGAAACTCTCATCAAGGTTTAATCGACATCTCCCGTTGTTACTTTCAATTTTGCTTTTATAAAATACAAGAAGCAGGAGTACATCAAACTAGTCAGAAACTTGAGATGGTTATATTAGCGATAAATCAAATCAGTGCTATAGAAATGTGGCGACTTCTTAAATAGAATGGATTTTGGCGATTTTTATTACGCTTACTCATAAGTTATTTCTACTGAACTGATACGTCAAAATGAGAGTAGTAATGAAAAACGAACTGGTAAGACGTAGTTATTCGAATATAACGCGTAGCTAAAAAAATCTTAATAAATCAAATAAATTTGTATCTGCTGTAATTAACAGCACCTCTGGACAAATGTGGGATATAACAGGTGTCCATAATATACGGTTTGCATTTGAACACTCACGCATATGCACCGATTGTTTTAAGTTATACTGACGTTCTGCTTAACCGAAGCTTCTAATTTTCTAAAGGGTGTCAATATAGGGAAATTCTCAATATTTCAAATAGCCGAAATAATGAAAATAATGAACAAACTAGGAGTAAGAAATTATTTAACATACTTCCGTTGTTTTAGTACACAGGTGATGCTGTCAATCAGCCCTTCGCTGTTGTATTAAAAATTGATCATTTTCTATCTCCACCGTTTCATCAAATTTAGCATAAAGACAGCTTACAGCTACAACAACTATAAATCATCAGTTTAACTCAAGTTGCAGAACCATGACATGGTATGATCCAGACCCATGCTTGGATCGATACAACACTTGCACTATCATGACTCACCACTCTGATCGAGAACGTAAAAACTGGCCCGTTACTTCTTTACAGCCTCAGACAACGCTTATATCCTTCTAATCGATCTACTTCATAATCATGCACAAGATGATCTGACTTAGAGCTTAGAGCAGTACAACTTTATGTTCTGATCGTTGAGTAGAACAAGATTCTGACCTCTAGCTAATACAAGTTTCTGTTCTGATCTCTAACAAATACACGTTTCTGTTCTGATCTCTAACTAAAACAAATATCTGTTTGATCTTTAACTAAAACAAATATCTGTTATGGTCTCTAACAAATACACGTTTCTGTTCTGATCTCTAACTAAAACAAATATCTGTTTTGATCGTTGAGTTAAACATGTTTCTGTTTTAAACTTTAACTAATACAAGATTTTGTTCTGCTCTCTAATACAAGTTTCTGTTGTGATTGCTAATTAATACAGGTTTTTGTACTGATCGTTTTCACTTCAGAAAATATTATAAAGTTTTCGAGCATTAACACTTTCGGAAAGTCTATAAAACAGAATCCAAACAAATGTACTACAATAATACTCAGTTTTTGTCTGTCCTGAAAATGTGCGCGCATCTTACAATCTAAATGCGCATGCGTGCGCACTTCATTTTAACGGGTGTAAACATGTTTTTACCCTCTACATATGAACGTTTCGGACTATAGAACAACAAAAAGAGTGTTGTTTTTTCATGCGACAAATTATCAGTTGGTACATTCTCTTGGGAAACTGGAATAGATAAAACTTCTCTTCTTTACGTGATGAAACTGTGATGGCAAAAATATATTGGTAGTTCTGTCAATAATAATCAATACTAAAAGATTTTTGTAACTGTTCTTTGTGATGATCTATTGTTAAATTGTCGATAGTTTCTTGAATATCGACGTCTTATGGCATTTTTTAAATTTAGTAAAATGCTCATTTTAGCGACATTTTAAGCATGGTACTAGTTATTTTTATTATGTACTAGTTATTATATATATATATATATATATATCATGCGACAATTCATTTTATTATTCTTTTCAGCTATTAAAATTATTGAAAATCACTACTTTTCACCGCTGCTTCTTTTCAACTCCTACATTGGTGTGTTTTACATTATTACTAAAGTGGCTCCATCTATTAGAAAGTTTAGGTTAAAAACTTTGTTAACGAGATTGTTTAATGAACAAAGAAATGAACCAGGTAATTTGGTGAAAAGTTTTTCAACTGCGATTAAAAGAATTAAGTACTTGAAGAAGGTAATAATATTTTCATATCTAATTCAGAATTCTAAGTTTTACTTTTGGTAATTAAAACTTTCACCCCATCTTGCACCCTTTCAGGAGCTATGTAGAATAAAAATGTAGTTTTTACAAGATACAAGCTAACCAGTACGAGATTTTTACGTACTCCATTATTTGTGTTTGTTTGTTTTAAAGTAAAGCCATATCGAGCTATTTGCTAAGTCCATCGCGCAGAACTGAACTCCGAATTTTAGTGTTGTAAGTCCGTAAACTTGCCTCTGTCCCAGCCGGAGACTGTTATTTGTGATCTAACATTTAATTTTTACAGTTCTTTATGCTCTATCTTTATTGTAACGTTTCAAGTAATTTTATGCTACCCTTCACTAACATTACAAATACATAAGTGCTATATAAATAGCTTCAATACAAGTTGGTCAATAGCATTTTCGACTGGTGATCATAGATCATTATCAGTAATCTCTAGCGGATTTACCAGTAATAGTTTAATTCTCTATTTGATTCAACGAGTTAGAGCCTTTCTTATAGATAATACATTTATTTAACAGTTAATACATTAGAAAGTGTTGTTTATACTTATAATTTAGCTTCGTTTTAAGTGTTATTTAATATTTCTAACCTTTATTCTAACTTCAGAAGCAAACTGAAGAGCCAGATGGCATTGGGTGGTCGGAATGGGGTGATTGGAGCGTGTGTTCTAGGACTTGCGATGGTGGCGTCACTTCCCAGCTACGAAGATGTGTCCGAAAGTCTGGCTGTAAGGGCGAAGCAGTAAGGTTTCGCATATGCAATATGCAGGTGTGTATCAAAGCCTTTAAGCAGATAACTCTCTTATTACAGCAGTAATAAAAATAAACACTCTTTCTTATTAAAAGCTGCACATATATAATAAACACTAAGTTCATAACAGTGAATAATGTTTGGAAAGTTCTAAGAGCAATCAAATCTCTGAGTGTTTTATTTTTATATTCATATCACCTGAACTTTTAACTTATGATAACAGTTTATATTCACATCAGTAGTTTTGTGTCATATGGGATGATTAGAGCAACACACATTTCAAATGTTGTTTTGAAAACTACGCGCCTAGAAGAACAACATGTCCACAAAGATACATTGAGAATGGTATGTTTTATTCAGGAAAATATGGGCATGTTACGAACTGTTTAGAAAACTATCACACTGCATACCTTAATCGCTTTTCTCGCAAAATAGCATTGTTTATCTTATATTTCTCATTCTTTGAACAATAAGAGATTGGCGACTTGCATAAGACGTCCGTCAGTGTGCAGGACATTACGAGAAATAACGTCCAGATCAAATAGTGTTTGCAGTAACTTCATATAGGAATAGGCTACTCAAGGTGATCGAAAATTGACAGAAAGCACAAAGAACACCTTCTGTTACAACTTCTTAAACGCACTGTAACACGTATAAAAATTCCTTTATAAAACTCGTGATCCTCAATATGCATGTGATGATATTTAGTTCTCCCAGGACGAATATTTTTTTAAAAATATAATCAATTGAAATGTGGGTTCTTTTTATAATCACCTTTTACTTTGATTTTTCACCTTCATGAATATAAAAAAACATTTTCGTAAAACTTCTTAAACAAAAGTTACCTTTATGACCAATTACTGGGATATTATTTGTTTTTAGTCAAGAATTTAAAAAATAACAAATTTTAATATTTAATATTTATTCATTTTAAAACAACTTAGTCTGCACTTCTGGTGCCTAATTTGGAATTCATTCTACCTTATAAGGAAAAAATATATATTCATTATATACATATATATATATATAATAATTGTATGAAACAGGCCATGAATATATATATATATATATATAATTTGATTTTGAATGTTAGGCTCGCCCAACTGTACTTTATTAATGATTCATATTTCACAAGCATATTTTATTTTTATGCTTTAATCACTACTAATGTCATTGGGAGAAAACAATATGTTTTAAGCACCATTAATGCCATCTGAAGAAAACAATCTTCAGCAGATAAAAATGCAGTTAACAATGACTCTTCAGAGAGTCTATTTAGCAATAAAGATAATACACCAGAAACCTTAAGACTAAAATTTACATTAAGCTTCTGAAATGTATTTGCCATTACAAAAAATGAGCCCTCCAGTGGCACAGTGGTATGTCTGCGGACTTATACTGCTAGAAACCGGGTTTCGATACCCGTGGTGGGCAAAGCACAGATAGCCCTTTGTGTAACTTTGTGCTTAACAACAAAAGATGAATAAAATGAAAATTGTTCACTAAAGTAATCTTAAAAAGTGTCCATTAAACAATATACATTGTTTTGTGAAACAGATTTGTTTATGTCAAGTTTCCATTTGCAACCGTACGTGTGTGTGTATCAGTTTGGTGCTTCAACTTATGAAAAGTAACCGTAAATATACACATATATATATATGTATGTTGAGGATTTAAGAAGAGGTTCAAAATTATTTAATATTTTTTGCTAAAAATAACAAATAATTTGTAAAATCATTTTAGCGAATATACTTTTATTAATTTAATTTAGAATTCCTGCACTGTAATTACATTTGTCGCGAAAATGTTAATTATAAAAAAGTGTTCGGAAAGCATCTTTTGTAATATAATTTTATCTGTAACTAAATCAACAACAGAGGTCCAGGGTAGGGCTTAACAACTCTTTAATTTTTGATTCGAAATGAACCGATACTCTCTGTAGTTAAGTGTAATCAAGTATATAAATCAAATTATACCATAGGATTTTACTCCAATTTCTATTTTTTTAAGATTTGAAATAAAGCACCAGAAAAGGGCCTCGTAAGTTTTCTTTAGTAGATATTACGATTTTAAATGCTAAGATATATAAAATATCACTGTTGATGAGTAGGTTCCCATTTATTTCATGTTCGATAGGCTTAAGCATAAATACAGAAGATGGTCACAATCGACTTAAAGTTGTTTTGAAAACATTCAGGGTACGACATCATTTTATGAAGCACATTGTATAGTTTCTGAACTAGCTGAAAATTAGTCTCGTTTAATGTCAAATCTTATCAGCCCAGCTAGGTAATGAAATGAATCATAATCATGAAATTTTGTTTTGGTTTGATTGGTTGTTTTAGAGCAAAGCCACATTGGGTTATCTGCTGTATCCACAGCGGGGAATCAAAACCCGAACTTTAGCGCTGTAGGTCGATATATTTACCATTGGCCTACCGGGGACATTTGTTTTGGAATGGTAGAATTGAAAAAAAAACTAAAATATCACCCTTTCTAAAACCATGTTCAACCTAAATCATATCCTAGTTTTCAAAGAGATCTTACATTGGGTCTTATTTTGATTGCGTCAGAAAAAGATACGCACAGACAAACATATGTATATGTTAAGTACGTTACGACAATTTTGAATGTTGAAAGATCATAAGAAATTGCATACAGATGCACATTCTGTGCTTCAGAGTTGGACACACATCCTTACACAAATAGATAATTGTTAAATTAACTTACTTGACAAATTTCCAATACCGGATACAAGTTACAGTCAGTACGGTTTGTTGATGTAACGTATTGACAAGAACGGCAACCGGTAAAAGAAGATAAATAAGTAGTTTGGCCTTCAAACAAATATTTCTCTGTCGTATTAACCTAGAAGAGGTCGATACATTCTGGCGACTGTAGATCCTTAATCCTGGAAAGTAAATATAAGCAAATGGCACTGTTTTTACAGGGGCCATTTCTAGTGTACATAGAAATTACAAATACAGTTTGATAGTTTTTCTGTCTTTTGAAAATTTTATACATTTTTACGAATTCACTTGGAACAAGCAAAATTATCGTTAAACAGCAAACAGATTATGTCAATGTAAGTTTTAGATATACAACAAATACATGTAACGACAGTTTATTTAAAATCTGGACAACGTTTCGATTAATTGATCTTTGGAACAAAACAAAGTTTGTTTGGTCAGAACTTGGACAATCAATTATTTTTTTGCTCTTTAAAATATCTCTTTGTATTTAAAGAAAAAAAAAGTAACATTTTAACTTCAGTATTTAAATAGAAATTAAAAGTTCAAAAGTTAAAAGCCTATCATTTATCAGTGGTTTAACTTTCTCTCATTGATGTCTACGAACTTATTATTTTTAAGTTCACCATAATTGACAATAGTTTAAACCATCTGTGTTTTTTCTTAATGAAACGCATTACATCCTTATAAGAGGAAAGCGAACTTTTACTGAAACGCATCTGTGCGTTGTTGACATTACTGTTTCGCTCATCCAAAAACTAACAAATTTATGATTTTTCTTGACTCAAAAGTACGAGAACCCCGACACCAACTATTGTAATTTATCACCCAGGGTAATGTAAATATAATTACAGCTAACTTGTGAGATGTTTCCATTAGGTTTGTTTATTTTTTCCATTAACTGCAATTATAAAGATAATTATTGAAACAAACTATTGTAGAGAAACATCGTGTTCCATTAGAAATGATTGAATATTATGTATCAAGTAGTGATTGAAAGCCGATGGTGGGATGTCTTGAATTCGAATCTCTTGAGCACGTTTCTTCGAAGAAACCGTTATTAGTTAGCAACACAAGATTTAACGACCAGCCGTGATTTGTATAGAGTGGCTCTTTTGCTGTATATTCAGCTTATTAAAGGTAATTTTCGTATTGATTAGGAACATCCAGCGTACTTGACATACTATGCTATCCACGTTATGCAGAAGTTCCACATCATCTACTTATGAAAAATTGATCATAAAGACCAAACTATAATGAACCAAAAAAAAAACGGTGTACTCTATGAAAGAATAATTTAGATTTATTTTTCGATTATAAAATGAAAATGTTTCGTTTTTGATTTGGGAGAATTTTATTCTGATTTTATGAAATTGTATTTACTGTTCATGGTGGGGAAAATGTTCATTTGATTGGATGTTTGTTTTAGCACAAAGCCTCTTTAGGCTACTTGCTATGTTCACCGCGGGGAATCGAATCTCGGATTTTAGTATTGTAAGTCCGTAAACTTACCGCTGTCCCACCGGGGGAATGTTTGTTTGAATATATAAAAAAATACTGAAAGTTTATGACAGAAAATCATCTTAATGAAACTTTTAGATAATTTTCACGGAGAAACTTTTGCCATTATCCGTTAGATAGTGAATAAATATATTCTACAAAAAAAATAATAAACAGCCGATAAATAATTTGTAACTGAATAAAATTATTATGTTTGTATAGTCGTAAACCTTTAGGCTTTCAGGATTACTTGTCTTTGTGATTCTTCACTTATGAGACTTTATGCCTTTAATGAATATCAATTCTCAGTTTGACCTGCACAGAATTGCTGACAGTTCAGTAGTTTATTTCGAGTTGCCTTTTTAGAATAAAAATATTGACATCGTTGAAATGGTAATCATGGAACTAAAACCGACTATTAAAGGCGTCATATTTGTTGATGAACTCTGATCATGAAAGTATACAGAGTTGTGAAAAACAATCGAAATTGAAAAGCGACACCTGTATGTGTTATAAACATTGTAGTTACAAATTACTGCTCGGGTGATGAATCAAGATGTAATTCTTACATATGTAATTAATTACCTTTAGAAGTCGCAAATTTAATTGTATTTATATAGAGCAAAGCGACAAAAATCTCTTTCTCCAAAAGTCAATAAAATCATCTAGTCTTATACCAGTCCATTTAAAATATTCCCATAACAATCTACCACCCAGAATTGAAATAAATTATTTTCTTAAACTGGTTAATATTGTACGTTTTTGTTGATTCTTAATGCTACGAACTCATTTGACTTATGAAATATCTTGTCGTACGAAATAACTTTAAGTTGTTTTTTTTTTGCTTCGATTCAGCCTATCAGCCGAAATTTGCTAACTTTCCAAGTTTTCCTCTTAAAATTCAAAAAAAAAAATCAAATATTTTATATAGAACTTTGAGAAGAACTCGAAGGGGTGGATATCTTGATGTGCTCTGAAAGAATTTTGCGCCTCATAACTTTATTTATTGTTTCTATAGTTACCTCTGTTGCCCGTCTCCAAAATTTACATCATGCACTACCGATGATTCAGAAATAGAGAAACTGGCGCCAACAACAACATAAATATGCTGATTTCATGTTTTTTTCTTCAAATAAAATGAGCGAAATAAATAGACTTTTAGAAGTTTTACATCCATATGTATGATGTTATAGTCTCCATATAGACAATATACGTAAACGTCTAAACACTGGAAATGTAAGAGTTCTGACCCGTTGTTCAATGGTAAGAAGTATAAAGTATAAAGGCCATTCAACCAATTCATAACTATATAAACCAAAATCTTCTAAATAGGCTACATTTGTTGTAATGGTTTATATTCTAACTTTGCATTGTGGCCTCCAGTAGCAGATTTAGCAAAGTCGCTGAAAAAAGTTAAGTTGCCATTTCAAAATAAAATAATACCTTATTCTCAATCTTTTATGTCGGTTTTGGATAGCATACAGTTTTAGTTTAAGAGTAGCAGTCTTATTAGGTCGAAATGATCATGTTAATTTTTGTTAAAAATTCCTACAACTACCAGTTTTACGCTGTAAATTATTGAAAACATTTATAACAACAATTTATAATTAATCAATTTTAAGGCAAGGTGAAATTTCAGTTTCAAAAGTAGCTAATAATATAAACAATTATGTATGCTAGTCTCAAACTTCAATACTAACAATTTGTGAGCTGATTCGCCTTTTATTAAAGAATTTCAAAACACAGACCAATAGAAATTAACAGAGAATTCAGCCTACGATTTTCGACTAGTAGGCAATCATATACTAAGTCTACATTTCTGTGTAAGATAATTTAATATTAGATAATATGATTTTTTTGAGCAATATTAAGTGATTATTCTAAGAAAAGACAAAATTGTTATACACATTATTATCAATATAGTGGAATAACGAGAAAACGAAGTACTAAAAATTCAGTTCTGTTACTACCATTACTAAGACAGAGAGTTTCAATTAATTTTCTATTTGATATTATTTCCTGAAAAATGTTTTTTTCACTATATATATATTAGTTGGTTGTTGAATTGCTGAATTTCGCGCAAAGTTACTCGAGGGCTCTGCGTATGTTCAGTGACGAGATTCGAACCCGCGACCCGCAGATTGCGAATCGAATATCCTGACCACCAGGCCCCTTGGTATAATTCAAAGTTTGTTTAGTCACTAAAATCTGTAACTAACTCGAAATAGAGTTGTTGTTTTTTTCAAATAATATAACTTGAACAATAGCCCATTTAGACCTCTTGTGAGTAAAAACTGTACTAATCTGTTAAATTATATTATGGCAAAACTTTGGGAGAAAACTTGAGCAGAATCCATGTAAGCGGCTTTCATAACATTGGAAAATTAGCGGGTAATAATTCTCTTTATATTTCTAAAGTTATTATAATTTAATCTGGCCAATGATAAAGCTTAGACGTGCTTTCAAATTTCACTCTATTTAACCAAACATTTGTATCTAAACGGATATGCTAACAACAGCTGCGCCCCCCAGTGGCACGGCTGTATGTCTGTGGACTTACAACGCTAGAAACCGGGTTTCGACACCCGTGGTGGGTAGAGCACAGATAGCTCATTGTGCAGCTTTGTGCTTAATTTCAAATAAACAAACAAACATTAGCTCCAGAACTCATGGGCCAGTTGATGCATTTTCCCCACCAATAACCTGGTCAGTTAAGTTTTATTATTGAACGTATTATACCCCATAAATATTATTTGACGGTCAAGTACTGCCATTGTTAGATTAGTTTGAAGCCAAGTAGTGGTGGCGCTACAGCTGGTCTTTGCTAATTTTTGTGTTGTTTGCGCTCATTGTAGACCAAATATTACATACACGGCCATTAACTTATTAGGCCTACAGATTTTATAAGTCGAAATGCACGAATAATACTTAAATAAAAGTACATAACGAAAATCGTTTTCTTACCTTGATAAATTTTCATTGGTCGACAACAATCTGCTTGTAGACGGTTATAATTTTGTGTCGTGTCGTAGTTTATTTTTCGGCGTGTGTGTGTATTGCAACTTGTATCACAAGTGTTAATAGACATTAAGCATGTGCAGTGAAACATATATGTTAGAAATGTGACACTTGTGTGGTTGTTTGTTTGAAGTTAAGCACAAAGCTACACAATGGGCTATCTGTGCTCTGCCCACTACGGGTATCGAAACCCGGTTTTTAGCGATGTAAGTCCGCAGACATACCGCTGTGCCACTGGGGGCGACACTTGTGTGAATTCAGTGTAACAGTTGTGTGAATTCAATGTGACACTTGTGTGAATTCAATGTGACACTTGTGTAATTTCATTTTTCATTTCTATCAATAATAATCAGTCATCCTATTTAACTTCAAAAAATTATTAATTTCGTAGTGATTACTTTGTGTGATGTGAGTAAAATTAAGTTATTGCGAAACACATTATTCGTAATATTACTCTCCTATGCGCATGCTCAGATAGGTTATAATAGACACTGCCTCACATTTTTACTCCGGTGACATTATATTATAGTTTTCAGCCCCACCAATGTAAAGTTACTTCCAGCTACCCTGTCTGTTAAGTTACCAAACAACAAAAAATAACTAACTCACATCCCCGTCCCACCAAACATGCTCACCCTTTCAGCCGT